AATAGAAGAAATTTTCTATCAGCGTCAGTTTTTTTAACCAATCACATTGAAATTATGCAAAACGAAGTGCGACAAGGATTACTAAGCCTAAAATTCATTATTTATACACAGATTTTTTTCTACTATTGTAGTGTGTTTTCTCGTGGAAAAACTGCTTTATGAGAACATTGTTTAAATAAGATGAAGTTACTGAATACCGAGGATTGATTTTTTTTAGAGCTAAGTTCTCTTTGAAAAAAAAAAGATAAAAACCAATGCGCATATTAATCAAAAAGACGTACTTGTTGGTGATGGTCTTGGAAGTAATATTTCACACGCAGTGCCTGCATGTGTTAATGGACATCTACAGCTTGGCACGCCGATATTCATGAAGCAAGTTCCTCCATTTTTGCATAGAGTTGATAAAAATTTGCACATGTCTAACGGGGCCGGTAAGATTTGGGTCTCACAACGAGTGCCAGTGTAAGCTAGTGGACAGTTGCATTCATATGGCGGCACGTTAAAGCCAGAAGTAGGAGTGCAATAACCTCCGTTGTAACAGAAATTATTTGGACACACTTGAATAATATATAAACGAAAAAAAGTGAAATTAGTCAGAAAAAATAAGCTTGAGACATGTTAGTGACTTTACCATGCATCGAGCACCTGATGATATGCCTTAGATCCGGAATATTATACTATTTCTCTTGGATATTGCTTATCAAAGCAATTCCCATATAGTCCATCTATTATAATCTATTCTCCTACGATATATGCAGGCATGTACTGAATCCAAACTTCTCGAGTCCGGTCGTTTCTCAATTCGGCCATTTTCGAGGGCTCAGTGATTCCAGATGTTCCGTCGTTCTTCGATTCACGCCTTTACTTAGTCGGAATCAAGAACGTCAATAATAGAAGAAACATATATAGCTAATTAAAAAGATTTTACATTAGTGAACTCGCCATTTATTGAATTCATTGCATTCCATAATCTCCTAATAAAATAGATGTCTTATCCTGCATTCAATTGGAAGCGAATTCTCTAATATAAAATATTTTTAATTAGCTGCATGTCTCTTTTCTCTATTATTCACGTTCTCGATTCCTACTAAGTGAGTGACCGAATCAAAGGACACAGAACTCGAGATACACGGTTTTTTCCTGAGTTCGATGCATGCATACATAGAAGCTCCAGAAGAAAATACCATTCTGTTTTACTAATCTCCGGCAGAATAAGAGCTCATAGGGCTCTTATTTTATTTCAAAAGTTAAAACTTTAAAGGTAAGCTTCAATTGCAATCTAATGTTTTTCTTCTACAATCAACCTTCAAATATTGTTCTCAAAGAATACGCACTAACTTTGTATCAAATGTATCAAAACTCGAATATGAATAGATGTATCTGTTGTATCCCAAAGTGACAAAATCTGAAGGGATAGGCTGAACTTTTTTTTTCCTAAAAATTTATACGACTCAATATTTTTTTCAAAATATTGAATTGTAGAAATTTTCAAAGAAGTTTTTGAGTTCTTTTAAAATTTCTAATCTTTTTGTGAGTCTTCGAACAAAAAGAGATCTTTGAAGACTCATCACGATCCCGAATCGCACCCTGGTCTGGGCAGCTGTCTATATTAACTTTGAAAAAAATAGCTTTGGTCTGTTTTTAAAATCTATTGCTATTATAACAGTATACCGTTAAGAAAATAGTTATATATTCTGAAATAGTCCGGAATTCTCTATCACCGTATACATCTATGTTTTAGTTTGCACATATTCGGTATAAACAAAAATCGAGTAGATTGAAGAGACACTCTCATGGTCAGATTCCTAAAATTTTCAATGCGGATCGCATCTCTGCTATATATAGATGATACTTTAGTATTACTCTGATAAAAATAAAGAAATGTGTTGAAAGCTATTAGGGTGAATCCGTGGAGTTTCTACCACTTTTGTGGAAAAAATGTTTTTTTTCGATTTTAATAGTCTAGTTAGACGGGTCATAGTCGCAAATGGCCTGAGGTAACAATTAAAACGTTTTTGGACATATAAAGCGTGGAGAACCGCATCAGTTTTTAGGAACACTCCACACATATACAGAGTATCCGATAATAAATTACTAATCATATTTTTCATATTTTTTCTTGACATGGAGAGCTGAAATTTTTATCCCATATATATCTAATTAAGATCTTTAATTTCTGAAGGTTTCAGCTCTCTAGCTAAAACAACTGGTGAAATATATCGACAAGACTGAAATGTATAAAGTTTCGTACTTGATTATTGCATATTTTTAGTATGAAACTACTGCAAAAATCGAATAAAAAATTGATGTATTTCGCCACTAGCTTTAGCTAGTGAGCTGTAACTCTCAGAACTAGAAGATCTTGATTAGATATATATTTGATAAAAATTTCAGCTCTCTATGTCAAGAAAAAGTAGGAAACATATCATTAACAATTTATCATTAGTTATTATGAGATACCCTTTATACATGTGGAGTGTTCCTAAAGAATGATGTGGTTCTCCACACTTTATACATCCAAAAACGTTCTAATTGTTACCTCAGACCATTTTCGACTATGACCCGTCTAACTAGACTATCAAAATCGAAAAAAATAGTTTCTTTGAGAACACTGGCACAGAATATCCTTCTTCCACAAAGTGGTAGAAATCCCACGGATTTACCCTTATGTCAGAAGTCTATTGACATAACTTTCTCTTTCTTCTCTGACTCTCGGTCTTACGAGAAAGTCTTCACTCCATGCATGATCTTTTGTTAAGTTCCTTTTGCGGTGGAGGGTACATGAAGCTCACGGAAGTCAATAATAGCAAAAAAAGGTTATGAAGAGATATGTAAAGAATGGAATAGTGTCAATGTTGGTTAGTGCTTTCGTAAGAATGTGGTAAGTATAACTCAGAACTGTAGTGAAATATTTTGATTTCTAAATTTATTTACATAATCCTATCTGAGAGTGAACATGACGACATGTTCCTTATGTTGAACCAGAGAGGGCCATCATCACTCATCACTTTTTATGTCGATATACAACAGAAACCAATAAAAGTTAAGACAATGTTTTAAAGCTAACGTTAACGATGGAACACACTGATAAAAGAGTATTGTCAATAGTCGCCATACCGTTGCACTAGTCGAAGACGTCAAGAATTTACGTTATTTGTTTAGAATGACTGCAAAATAGTGTCAAGTAGAGTTTTCGACAATAGTAAACAGTTGCTGTTTTGCACCGTAACTGAGTGTCTTACGGCTGTACATGAATTTCACCTAAATGAGCTGGAACAGTATTGTTCGACAAAAGAGCTCTCTATTAGTCTTTTTCATGTTAATTTTTTAAAAATACAGGATTCACATTTATCTTTATCGTTTCTTTTCAAAGAATGACAAAAACAAAAAGTGATTCGCTACTCCTATGGGATTACCCATTTGAAGTCATTAAAATTTTATGCTTCAAATCTGACAAGGTAATTTTCTAAGTTCAAAACTATTTAACTGGTATGTCTATAAAGATTACATAAAATCTTTTACTAAGAAGCTTGTGAATCGGCGTTGAAATTATACATACCGTCTATTTCACATAAATAGCCAGCGTAAGCGTCTGGACAAACGCATGTCAACATGTTTGGAGTGGTGAGTATGCATGATCCACCATTCTGGCATGGGTTTACTGGTGTTGGACACGTTGGTAGACGTAGATTTATTGGTACATTCTTGGAAATACCCAACACTGGAATTTCAGTGAGCTCTTGAGGTCTATCGCAACGTGGTCCCATCCATCTGGGAAGACAATAGCAGTTCGGACCATCGTCAGCCGTTACGCAGATACTATTGTTCGAGCAATAGCCCAAACAACCTTTTTCAGGAAGAACTGATTCACCGGAAGCAGAAGGGGGCAAAGCGTTCAACACCGATACCAATGCCAACAGGCCAAAGACATATAGAGAAAAATACCGTATTAGACGCATTTTCTGGTATTAGTTTATTGTAATGACCGTTGTAAGATAAGCTATGAATATGGTCGATAGTGAATATATAGATGCAGATTATTTACATATGGATTAATTTGTTGTCTAAGTTGAAGTTTCAGCTACATATATCTCGACAAATATTGAAGATTTATTTTCATTCATGAAGACTGAAATTCATAGTGCTGATAGGTACGGGTGTATGGCGGGGTGGGTGTGAGTGTACACTCCCCTAGATTCGCAATACAATGGGTTATTTAATTTCAATCTGAATTTAAACAGAAAAAGAGCACTTGATTTTCAAATTGAAATAAGGGACTGAGGGGACTAAGAAAATTCTTAAATTCAGAATTCAAGAATTCTTTGGTTCCTTGTCTCCTGTTCCTTATAAAAAAGGGTACTATGTATACATACATAAGATATATAGAATTCAGTCGACATATGTTATATCTATAGTACCTTTTTTGAGGGTGGGCTAGGAGAACTAACGGGACTGAGGGGACTAAGGAGACTAAGGGGATTAAGGGGACTAAGGGGACTAAGAGGATTAAGGGGACTAAGGGGACTAAGGGGATTAAGGGGACTAACGAGGGAACATTCCCAAGTGATTAAAAGCTTTTCAGCTCATATGTTGCCCATTAGTTAGGGAACCACTAGATTAGAGAAACTTCCAAAGGATTCGTGCCCATATTCAGATTTGACAGAGATATCAAATTTTTAGTG